CTATATAAATCAATTCTGAGAGATGAAAAAATAGTTGAAACCTTCATGCAAGTAATAATAGCAGTGTCGCCATTTGCAACATCAAAACATTTTGATTTTATGGTAGATAGCCAAGATGTAGGAGCAGAATCATTCCAAGGATGCTTGCACCTCTTACAAAAGTTGATTCAGACGTACAATGGGTCTCGAGTTAGCGTTTTATCAAAAAATAAAGAGATGGACGGCGTATGCGGTTATTCATTAGATCTTACAGAATATGAACCTCCGTTGGACATTCAACCAATTATCGAAACATGGAAACGGAATAATGGAAGCATTCAGGAAAAGTCATGAGCATCATCTTCATCATTTAAAGCTTAGTATCATTGAACATTCTTTTCGGATACCTAGTTACTATATACTTTGAAAACTTTTTTCTATCAAAATAACAATTATTTCTAAATATTAGGCTATTTGTGTTTAATTAAAAATTATGTGCAATTGATTTCAATGATATTTTTAGGATGCTGTATCTTAACAGTTGAACTATGATCCATGACTCTCTTATGGTTATATTAATTAAATAATACAAACAATGATCTATACTTTGATTACTACAGTATTTATATATACAGTATATAATTTTATTTTTAAAAAAATTAAATAAAACAGGTTTATGGAATTCTTGTTAAGTTATTTTTTTTATTACTATTAAATATAAAGCTCTTTTCTAAAGTAGTTTTAGTTATTTTTTTTCATCCTTAAAATTTGATAATGGAATCAAATGAAAGGTCAATATTAGGCATATAAATAAAAGACTGGTTTTTTTTTTAAAAATAAAATATTATCTTTATTGCTATCTCTATAATACTTCTTTTTATATTTCAAGCCCTATTATATATAAAATAACTTTGAAAGTTTAATTATAAAGATTCAAATTATATAAATACATTTAGCTGCTAAATTACAGTTAATTAAATTCAAATTTATTAATAAAATTTATGCTATAATTTTATTGTTTGATTTAATTCATATTATTTGACACTTAAAAAATATATAACAATTTGATAACAAAAGTTTAACATTTGACAAAAAAATATTATTTGACAAAAAAAAAATTATTTATTAGATTAATAGGTCTATAGTGCAATAGTTAACATTTCACAGATTAGATTATAAGATATTAATTTAATTCCAAGTAAAGATAATTAAATAAAACTTATATTATATTTGAAACTATAATTTGTTAAGTGCTGTCTTTTATATAAAAACATTTTATATGCTAATTCAGTAGATATTGAAATTATAGTTTTCAAAAAAGATATTATGATATAATAATTATTTAGTTGATATAATAATTATTCAGTTAATATTACAATAATCATTGAAAATATATCTATAGTAATTAAACAATATAATAAATTAAAAAACATATGTTAAACTTTTTTAATCAAGACTTTTTTTATATTTGAATATATAGGTTGAGCTGTATTTTATTTTAATTAATTCTGATTCTTTTCTTTTTAATAATGATTAAAGCTCTAGCCTAAATTATTTCAATTTAATGCAGAACCTAATTGATTTAAAAATCAACTAATTATAGGTGATAAAAATAGTTATAGTCTTATATAAAACTTATTAAAGATGTGATTAGGGATTTAAATAATAAGATAAAAAGATATTCGAACTAATTTCTTTAATTAAATCTTTTTTTTTATAAAGCTGAACTATATATAGGTTAAATAATTTAAACTAATAATAAAATTTCTATACTTTATAAGTTTTTCTTATTTTATAAAAAAGATTGTTAAGTAATAAATTTCTAAATACCAGAAGTAAGGTAATGTATAAGTAATAATTTATATAGAATATATAAGTATTAACTTGTATAAATTCTTAGTTACAAGTCATTTTATTGTACAAATGATAAATATATAATATAAAAGTTATATATTTGCTTTTAAAAACAGTAAAAACCAGTATAATATTATACTTTGATATTTTTTTTTTTTAAAAAAAATTATTTGTTAATAAAAATAAAAAATAATTAATAATCAAAATTATTAACAATAAAATTATAATATTTAATAATAAAAAATTATAAAAATTTATAAAATTATTTGATATTATATATTTTGATAAAAATTTAATTTATTATATTTTGTAAATTGTATATTTTCAATAAAAAATTATACGTATTTATAATAATAATATTTGACAAATTTTAATTAATACTTAATAAATTTATTAAAAAATATAAAATACAGTATATAAAATTTGAACTAATTATTTGTTAATTGTTTACTAAATTCTTTTTTATTTTTTTTATATAAATCTTTTTATTTATATTTGTCTTTTTTTTTTATAATTTTTTTATTTATTTTATTATGGTATTTATAACTTTCAAAAATTTTATAATGCCAAATTGCTTTTACTTTAAGTATTTTTTTGTATTTTTTGTATTTTTTATACTTTTTTAACCAATTTTTTTTTTATATTTAATATTATCTTTTAACTTTTACTTATTTATAATTTTCTCTAATTTAATGTTTTTTTTTGAATATATAAGTAATTCCTTATAATTAAATATTCTTTATCTTTTATATTTTTATATTAATTGTTTATGTTTTTTACTTTGCTTTTTTTTTTTTTTTTTTTAGTTGAATGGCATTAGATGCTAGTCTTTATTGATATAAGTCATATCTCGGCAGTACATCAAACATCTTTTATAATGGTTACACTACAGCTTAATACTAGCCTATTAACTATTTTTGCCCGTTAATGCTAATCTGATACTCTTGAAGTATTTTTTCACATCTTTGGGAGGACATATCTAAAGAGGGAATTCCTACCACTAGTTTAAACCACCTAACTTACCGGTCCAATTTTTGCGAGAACAATGGTACTACTAACTATCCTCTATAAGTAACTTATCACTTACACACCTTTTCACTCACGCAGCTAATGTGGCAGAGGAACTTCATGTGGATCTGCACTCCCTAGTGAATGCTCCGAACTTTTCTTCCTCTGGTTGGTCAGTGTGCTTCCAAACCTAGGGGTTCTTTTTGACCAATTGGGGCGCAACTTCGCAAGGATCCACTCGGGCCAGACGGATGGCTATTAACCACCCTGCTCCCAAGATCTCTGTCTTCTAGTAGACATATCCAGAGGGGCCGGTTGGCGTTAGCTGCCAAATTTAGGGGCACGAATGCCACACAGGGTGTAACTCCTACAGACACGGTAAGCCGCCAGAGATTCATGTCTCACAAGACGTTAGTGTCAGTTCGGTGTGCTTCTTCAAAGTTACCTTATTCAGAAGTTAGCAGAATGGAATTTCTCGATCGGGTTAGTTAAGATGAAGCACAGCCCAGTTTGTGCATCCAAATGTATGGTTGGTTCAGGCTTCTGTCAGATGATCATCAGACCACTTCCGGACGATCATCTTACCACGCACCTTTCTTGGAGATCACAATCCCAACATCCCACCAAATCAGTGTGTGAATGACTTCTTATAGGAAACAGAGCTTTTTTAACAGGTTATGGCCCCAGATACTATTTTTTAATTCAGTTCAACCGCCTTCACCTGGGGTTGAACTGGTATCTTGTGATCTGACCTGTGGAGTGTTAACTACTACACTATGGACCCACAGGTCCATAAAAATTATATTATTATTATTATAACTTTTATTTAATAAATATATGTATTATAATAATTATAATAACTTTTATTATTTCTATTTTGTAATGTAATTAAAATCAATCATTTTTTTTAAATTAAATTTTAAGAATATTTTAATAATATATTTCAAAAACTTTATTAAATAAACTTGTTTTTTATATTCTTAAATATATTAATATAGATTTTTATCTTATTTTATTAATTGATTATTAAAATATTATAAAAAACCAATTTATCAAAAAAAAAACTTTTTCCGTTTTACCCTAGATCGCCTAAAATTTGCAGTAAAATGGCCAAAAGGATGTTCAAAGGCAGCATACAGTCATGGCTATACATGTGGTGTAAATTATTTTGCTGTTGTTTCAATTCCCAAAATCCTCAAAAATAATTGCGTCATGACTTAATTATTTATATGTTTTAATAGTGACTCAATTAATTGCGTCAAATAATTGCATCAATTGTATCAAGGATCTATGAATTTCAGCAACATGTATATTCATGGCAACCTGCAACGCAACATCAGGAGTAAGAGCCTGGCCTTACCCAATATCTAGCCACAACAGGTAGCCAAAACAATATAAAAAACAAAACCTAAACAGGCCTTCAGAACGGTCAGTAACAGAGGACAGTATCTTAGTCAACTAGCTACTCACAGCTGAAGATAGAGTAGATGCTACCTACAAATAGGCGGAAAACACTTATATGGAAACAGAGAAATCCCAACAGGCACCCACCTCACCCATCCTGGCTATCTTCAGGGAATCAGATGAAAACCTAATGCCCATTGAGCCAGATAGTGAAATAGAGGAAGAAGAGACGGCTGAACCCAAGCCACCCAAACTACCCAGACAGCCATATGGACCTCCAAAAGACTGATGCATCTAGTACAGCCGCATACGCTTCAAAGTGGCTATCCAGATAGCCAACCTCAACAGTACAATAAAGCAAAAACTCAATGCAGTAAAGCAGGCAGTCACCCACTTTGAATCCTACATGGGAGCCCGGGTGGTGTAGCACCAGGGAAAAAAATAATTATCACCTCCTTTGCTAATAAAAAGAATCTATACAAAGCATGCAAATTAATCCTACAAGAAAATAACAAAAACTACATGTCAGAATGAATTGAGATCGACCTGACAAAAGCCAAAAGCAGAACCATTTGCATCTGGAACATTTCCCTAAATACCAACCAATAAGAAATAAGACAGAAAATCATTCAATACAGGAAACATAAAGTTTCAGAATAAATATAACAAGCATGTGGTAAAGCACACTAGCTGAATTTGAAACAGAAAAGGAGTACAAGAAAATCAACACAAGATGGAATATTCTATTTAAAGGAGAATTACTTAGAATCTACTTATTTATTAGAACCTTTAAGATTAAAGAGGCATGAGACAGATATACTGTATCTTAAAGCTCACAAACCTTCCACCAGGCACTACAGGATATGATCTATGGGACATAATCGAATCCATCAAGGCAGCATCATACCACATCCCTCGCAACAGGAACTATACAAGGAAAAGATTTGCTTTCTTAAACTTTACCTCAGCAGAGGCAAAAGAGAAAGCGAAAAATATAGAAACACAATTGAGAGAAACAACACTCTTCTGGCATGAAACCAATACAAAGTTATATGCCATCTGCAGTGCACCAGACCACCTAGCAAAAA